CTCAGGAACAATTCACTGTAACAGTCACAGGACAGGTGTGGCTGGCTCCAGCCCAGACAGTGTGGCACACCACACCCTCTCTGGTGCATCATGGCTTACTCACTAGGACACAACAGACTTCAAGTGAGACGTAACAGGGCCATTAAGCCATAAGTCAGTCAGCCGTTGGATTTCAACACTTGTGGGCTACACAGAAGTAGGGAGATGCACTGGCTAAACAGGTTGCTACCAGCAAAACTGTGTGATAGAGAAAGATGGCGTCTTCCCATGGCTCCCCAGCCTCCCTTCTTGAATCTCACCAGAGACAAAGGTCTGGGCAACAGCTCGGGCTTTGGGGCTGGCCAAACCAGAAGAAACCAGACCTACCTTAGCCTTTGCTAGCTGCATGACCTTGAGCAAGGCACACAATTCTTTTGTTTTCAGCCCACTCAACACAGCAGGACAGTCTTAAGGCAGTGGTTCTCAACTTGTGGGTGGAAACCTTTTTGGGGATCAAACAACCCTTTCACAGGGGTTGCCTAAGACAATCAGAAAACACACATATTTTACATTATAATTCATAATACTAGAAAACTTACAGTTAGGAAGTAGCAACAAAATAATTTTATGTTGGGGGTCACAAATGAGGAACTGTATTAAAGGGCTGAGCATTAGGAAGGTTGAGAACCACTGCTCTATGGCTTGAATTACAACTCAATGGTACCTGAAAGGAATGTGGACAATCTTGGCCAACAAGACCATGAGCTGGTTCTTCCCATCTCATCTTCCTTGTCTAGAGCATCCTTGCCTTGGGCTAGCAGAGGGGACAGCTTGAGGGTGTCAAGTGACAGGACACAAGAGACCTTAGCACCCCAACCTCTCTATTCTCTAAGCCAAGTTGTGTACCCTACAAACTTTCTTGTTCTTTTCGCAACCCCTATTAAAGTTTCTTCCTATCCCTTGCAGGAGTGAACACCATTTTTGTTCCAATACTAACTCTGCAAAGAAGTTCCAGAATTTAACAAAGGCAGGAGCTCAGTTGGTAGACGTTTGTCTAGGATACACAAAACCCATACCCAACACTGCAAAACCAGGGCATGGTGGCACATGGCTGTAATTCCAGCATTTGGGAGACAGAGGTAGAAGTACCAGAAATTCAAAGCCATCTTCACCTACATAGCAAGCTCAAGGCCAGGTTGGGCTATGTAAGATCCTGTCTCAAAAACACACAAGTAGAAACCGTTTTAAAAAGTTTAAAATTTTAAATAAAAGAAAGGATGTATACTGGTGAGGCTCTCCCAGAAGGTGAAGACATGAGTGCCACCTCCTTCTCTGCAAGCCAAGTTTCCATGACTCTGAGCAGGAAAAGAATCAAAGTCATAGAACGTCAGCTCAGACTGCTAGCTGTCACAACTCAGCAACAGGTCCAGAGTGAACTCAGGAGGTGGCCCCTACTGCTCTAGCCCGGAGTACTGTAGTACTGTTTTCCTGGGAGTTTTTCAACCAAAAGCTCTAACAGGACCTGGCTGCAGTCAGAGTCTTGCACAAGTCTTTGGGAGGCCTGGGCCCCACCTCCACTATCAAATTGTTTTCACAGAATGATCTCTGTGAGACCCAGTATGCAGGAATCTTGACCACTCTTAGTGATCCAGGAAGAGTCATCTCAGTTGAGTTTCTAGGCTTTCCACACACAGGATTGCAGGAAGCAAGTCATTATGGCCAAAATTGGCCTGGACATAATCAACTGAACAGTATTATACTGACTATAAACCACAACTCACCTGTGACACAAGAGGTATTTTGCAGCCATGCCTGTGTTCTGTATCACCTTGCTGGCATGCCCCCAGAGAGGCAGAGTTATTGACCCAGCCTGAAGTCTCAGAAGATGGATGCATCTTGGAGTGGAAAAGGCCAGTTAACAGTTCAGCAAGTGGTACAAAGAGGAACGGAAAACGTCTAAGCATCAGAGGGCCAGATCCAGGTGGAGTTACCCAGCAGAAGGTACTGTTCTGTTTTGTTTGTTCCATTTTTAAATGTTAGATGTATGGGTGTTTTGCTTGTATACATGTCTGTGCACCATATGCATGCAGAATCTGTGAGGGTCAGAAAAGGGTGTCCATCTCTAGGACTGAAGTAACAGATAGTCGTAATCTGCCATGTGGGCACTAGGAACCAAACCTGGGTCCTCTAAAAGAGCAGTCAATGCTCCTAACTGCTGAGCCATTGCTCTAGCTCCTCAATAAACATTTCTTAAGGGTGTAGCATTTCTAGAATTCCCATTGTGATGAAAGCAGGATCCAAAGGTGGAAGTCTAGACCAAGGACAACCTTGATGTCACTACCAACCACAGTTCCCAGAAGGGCCACTAACAAGTGAGGAGCTGAGCAGGGGCTGACTCCCTTCAGCAGCAGAGCCACTGTATCCCAACTCTCCCACCTCTGTATACACAGTGCTTCCAGAAAGCAGTTTTCTCTATTTAGAGCTGTGAGCTGCAGGCTACCTGCACCATCATGAAAGCTCCAAAGAATGCATGGCATGTGCTATGGGGACAGGAGTCTAGAAAACACAGTAGCCCAAAATGGGTAGCATTAAAACAAAACAAAACAAAACAAAAACAAAAAACAAAAAAACAAAGCCGGGCATTGGTGGTGCATTCCTTTAATCCCAGCACTCGGGAGGCAGAGGCAGGTGGATCTCTGTGAGTTCGAGGCCGGGATGGACGATAGCCTCCAAAACAATACAGAGAAGCCCTGTCTTGTAAAAACAAAACAAACAAAAACAAAATCCAACCTCTAGAAAGAGGGGCGTGGGGATCACCTTGTCACATTTCTCTGATAGTGAATGGGAAGGAAAAGGACAAAGCAATGGGAACTAGAGAGATGGTTTAGTGATAAGAGTACTTGCTGTCCTTGCAGAGTACCTGGGTTCATTTCCCAGGACCCATATGGTAGCTCACACCCATCCTTAACCCCAGTTCCAGAGGATTCATTGGCATTTCCTGACTTCCACAGAACTAGATGCACATCGTAAACATACACACAAGCAGACAAAACACTCATTTACATAAAAATAAAAGGAGCTGTGAAGAGACCTAGTATTAACAAGAAGAGCATCTACTTAATAGGGTGAAGTGGCCTGACATTAGTCATTTCAATAGATCAGTATACATGGTATAGGTGCACAGCCAGCAAAAGCAAGAACAGGAGCCAGACGGTAGAGCAGTGACCAAAGAGATGGCCAGTGTTTGGTGGCTTTGGGCCTCAGTTTTCCTTATCAGAGTTCAGAGGTGGTGGTGTGTGTTTTAGTCTCTAGAGATACTCTAACAGACTGTCAAGCTTCAAACAGCAGAAGCTGATCCCACAGCCTGGAGACTATAGACAGCAATCAGGTGTCAGCAAGGCCACACTTGAAAAGGCAGGGGAAGAATTTGTTCCTGGTGATAGCTAGTTGTCCTTGGAGTAGTGAATGGAAGCAGGGAGAACCCCAATGTCTGCTTCCATCCCCATTGATGTCTTATAGAACACCACCGGATCAGGAGCTGCCACCATATTCATCTTTTTTTTTGGGGGGGGGGAGCGGTTCGAGACAGGGTTTCTCTGTGGTTTTGGAGCCTGTCCTGGAACTAGCTCTGTAAACTAGGCTGGTCTCGAACTCAGAGATCCGCCTGCCTCTGCCTCCCAAGTGCTGGGATTAAAGGCATGCACCACCACCTCCCAGCTCACCATATTCACCTTAACTTACTGCACAAACTGTATTTCCTAGTTGGAGAGAAGACTCAGTGATTAAGAGCACTTACTGCCCTTGCCAAGAACTAGAGTTCAATTCCAGCCTGCAACCACCTGTAACCTCAACTCCAGGGGATCCAACACTCTATCTGGACTCTGCTGGCACTCATGTGAAAATACACACACACACACACACACACACACACACACACACACACACACACCATGATCTTAAAATAAGAAAAAAAAAACTTTAAAATCTACTATTTGCATTCACAGGCTCTGATCACATGCATGAGTCTGAAGAATGCTACTCAACCCAGACAGAGCACTTGTTCAAGAAGACCGAACTTATCTGGTGCTCAGCACCTTGCATACAGTGTTTCACTTCAAGGTCAGCTTCCCTTCATTGTTTGTGGCCAGCAGCAGCTGTACAGAGATTACACAATTATATCTGGGTTTTTCTTCCATTTTAAGTCCAGGCAAGAAACTTCCTGTAACTAGAATTCCAGGTGTTAAGGACAGAATTGGAGCCCAGTGGAGTTATTATCATTCAATACCCCTTCACCACAGTATCCACAGGCTGGAGAAAGAGTCTGCTATAGTCACTGGGCTGTTTCTGTGATGCTGGGATGAAGCTCAGGGTCTTCACATGCCCACGGTCTTGACATGCTAAACTAGTGCTTTCTGCCAAGCTATGTCCCTGAGCTTGTCATTTGTTTATGAACAAAGTAGAATATTGTATTCACATGAGTAGGTGAGCCCTGTAAAGTAGTACTTTATGAGTGAGGGTCTGCATGGGAAGTTTACAGAGCCTTGCAAAGGCTGGAGCCAAGGATAGCAATCTCCTCACCTCAGTCCACAATACAACTAATTACAAGCCAGCAACTATAATACTCTTGACCACATTCAGAGATTAAGCCCACTCTTTGAAACAGAGATCTGCTATCTATGAGGATGTGCTCTTCAAAGAGAAGGAGGACATCTACATATGCCTCTAACCCTAGCCCTGGACAGCTGGAGAAAGAAATATAGAGTGAGGAGTGTGGAACCAGCCAGGACTTCACAGGAAGACTATGTCTCAAAACAATCAAAAAAGGATCCTATTTTTGCTTCTTCTTCAGTGAAGATTTAAACAGCTACCCAAATGAAAGAGGTGGAAAAGTGGAGAGAGAGCTCAGCAGGTAAAGGTGCCTGCCACCAAGCCTCATGACAGACACACATGCTGGTGGCACCAGTGAGTATAGGTTGAACACAACTGCATACACACACAAACACTAACAAAAATATAAACAATTGTTTTTAATACTTCTTTTACTTTTATGTGTGTGTGTGTGTTTGTTTGTAAGCCAGATATGTGTGGGTACTTGAGAAGGCTAAGAAAAAGGCGTTGAATTCCTTGGAGCCACTGGTTATGGATGCTGGGAATTGAATTCTGTTCCTCTATTCTCCAGTCCTAGAAAGAAAGAGGGGGAGGGAGGGAGGGAGGGAGGGAGGGAGGGAAGGAGGGAGGGAGGAAGGGGAGAGAAAGGAGAGAGATCAAAACTCAAGACTTAACCACTCTTGACATCTAAATTCTAGATTGAAAAGTTGTTGAAATTTAAATATTCAAATTAATAAATACATATAGTACTCAAAAGAGCAAGAAGTCATGTTTTATAATTTCAAAATAGGAAAGTATGCTTTTTCCTAAACATTGGTCTCATGGCAGAAACGACTCTAAGGGAAAACATCTGAATGCCTAAAAATGAAAATCTACAGGCAGAAGGTAACTGCATAAACAATGCTAAAAGACAAATGGGATAATTTATAGTTTGTGTGTGCTAATAAGCAAATCAACCAGAAGGCTGGGATGTGGCTCAGTGGTAGCATGATCAACTTTTTTTTTTTTTTTTTTTTTGGTTTTTCGAGACAGGGTTTCTCTGTGGCTTTGGAGGCTGTCCTGGAACTCGCTCTGTAGACCAGGCTGGCCTCGAACTCACAGAGATCCGCCTGGCTCTGCCTCCCGAGTGCTGGGATTAAAGGCATGCGCCACCAACGCCCGGCAAAGATGATCAACTTTAAGACAAAAATGGTGGGGCAGGCCTATAATCCTAGCACTTGTGAGCTGATACAAAAGGATCAATTCAAGGCAGCCTCAACTTTTAGTTTAAGGCAAGTTCAGATAATATGAGAACTCCATTCAACTTTTTATTGTCAAAGAAGTGAAAACCAGTACATGTGAAGCCCCGGGTGGATGCCAGCACTACAAAAATAAATCAGTCCTACTGGAGTGACTGTTTCAATTACTAGTCTAAGCATTTTCCTTAGCCTAACTGATGATCCTTAATAAAACCCCTTCAAATGGTACCATTATTACCCTCCCTTACCAAGAAGAATTGAAGGACACAGGAAGGTCTAGCAGGCTAGCTCCAAGTCACATTCTGAAGCATGGTGTTACCAGACCATGTCTCCAACTGTCACCTGGAGAACACATGGAAACACAAGATTCAGTGTTCTTAGAACCACAGGAAAACCATCAGGCATAGTGGTACCAGAACACCTTTAATTCAAGCACTCAGGAGACAGAAGCAGGTAGATCTCTAGAAGATGGGAGGCCAATCTGGTCTACTTAGTAAGTTCCAGGCCAGTAAGGCTATACAGTGAGACCCCGCCTCACAATCAACAACTTTGAGTGCACATATTTATCATACATGATACTGTGTTATATATGACATTTTCACACAAGTACACTGAATACTGAGCACATTCCCCACTTCTACCCTCCAACTTCTTACCCCACTCTCATTAGAGCCTTACATGTCATACATACATATATGATTATATATATATACATATACATATATAAAACCTAGAAACCACAAATAAAAAGAAAGCACAGCATGGTTTTGTATGTCTGAGACTAATTGGAGAAAGAGTGGCTTCAATGGCACTGTACACCCCAGGCTAACTCAGCTTGATCTTCTTCCATTTGTTTGGGATTTTCTGTTTGTTCTGTTTCAGTTTCTGAGACATCACCTCATGTAGCCCAGGAAGGCCTTAAACCTACTGTGTGCAGAGGCTAACCTAGAATTCTTGATCTTCCTATCTCCATGCCCTGACTACTAGGATTATAGCTATGTGCCACTTGAAAGTTACATTCTTGTGGAAAGCTGGCTCCATAAACTAGTGTGGTAAATGTGCATACACTTTAACTCTGCTGTTCCATTTCTTAGAATTTCTAAGGTGACAGTAGATACCGGTGTGTGTGTGTGTGTGTGTGTGTGTGTGTGTGTGTGTGTGTGTGTGTGTGTGTATGCACACTGTGTACAGAATATCGAAAATAAAAGTCACATTAACCACTCAATGCTTAAGCATCATGTGCATATGAGGAACTGTTTCAAACAGGTGCTGAGAAATACCTAAAATGGGGAAGAAAAACTATTTGCCTGGAGCTTGAATTCTATTGGAAGGAGGTAAGTAATAAAAAATGAGAAAAGCAGCTGGACAGTGGCGGCGCACGCCTTTAATCCCAGAACTTGGGAGGCAGAGGCAGGCGGATCTCTGTGAGTTCGAGGCCAGCCTGGTCTACAGAGTGAGTTCCAGGACAGTCTCCAAAACAATACAGAGAAACCCTGTCTCGGAAAACCAAAAAAAAAAAAAAAGAGAGAGAGAGAGGGAGAGAGAGAGAGAACAGTATGCAATGAATCAAACAGTATGAAATGTTACTGATAAAAGCAAGATGGAAGAGATACAGGGACTTTCAAAATATTAAGTGCTGCTGACAACATGAAATGAATCGATTAAATATTATGAAATAAATGCACCATGATGCACCACTCAGTGAAATATTTCAGCCATCTATTGCTGCATCCCACAAAGCTTGGTCCCAGAACCCTGACCAGGGGCACTTAAGGAATGAAGAAAGAACATATATGTACAGAAAATCTGGGTGAGGCAAGCTGCGCATTCTCTGATAGAGTTGCCCTGAAACCACAGAGACTTTATTTGGTATAGTGCAGGAGGGAAGAAACTAATCTTGATGGAAGAGTCTGTAAGACTCAGTCTCAGCTGTAAACATCAGGAAGGAAGATGCTGCAGTTGCTAGTTTTTGCCCACATTGATCACTAGTAAACATTCTAGTACTTGGACCAGAGGAGGAAGGCTAAACCCATGCTGAGCCTGACCCATATGAGGAAGGGCTTTCCAATTTCCCATGGGTCCAATGCTTTGGTCCTTGCCCATGTCAGCAATACACATTCACTCAGGACTTTACTGGCTCCTTATGATCTATTCTGTACTTGTTTACATGAAAGTTTGTTTTTTGTTTACATTTATTCATTATTTGTAAAACAGGTTCTCTCTACATAGCCCTGACTATATCCTAAAACTGGCTATATAGGCCAGGCTGGTCTTGATACTCACAGAGATCCTCTTGCCTCTGCTTCAGGAGTGTTGGTATTCAAGGCATGTGCCATGATGCCAGGCATGAAAATGTGTATTTTTTTTTTACAGATTTTTTTGTTTTATTTTATGTATATAGGTATTTTGCCTGCATGCATGTCTGTGTACCACATAGTGCAGTGCACTAGAAGATTAGAAGATGATATCTGGATCTTCTGGAGCTGGAGCTGCAGCCAGTTCTGAACTACCTTATAGGTACTATAGGAAATAGAAACTTACATCTTTGGGAAGAGCAACAAGTGCTTTTAAGGGCTGAGCCATCGTCTAGGCTCAAAAGATATCTTTAACAGTCAAGTTAAATAAGATCAGCTGTCAAACTAGACAGGTCCCAGTGCTGAGAGTGGGAAGTGGACATAGGCTTCCGCACCTAACCAAGAAGCTACCTGCAACACCTGCTTGCAAAGGAAAAATTAGTTTTCTCCAATGGAGTCTACTGAGTTTATTAACCACACTTCAGGTGAGCCTTCATGCCCAGCAGTAGATGGCAAACAAAACAAAGTATTTTTTAGACATTTCATTTCATACTGCTTAGTTTGGGCTGTTGTTTGTTGTTGTTATCATTGGGTATGTGGGGAGGACCTGGGAGTAGTTGGGGGAGGGGAAATCATGATCAAAATATATTGTATGAATTGTATTTTAAGATTTATTTTTCGGATCTTTATGAGTTCGAGACCAGCCGGGTCTACAAGAGCTAGTTCCAGGACAGCCTCCAAAGCCACAGAGAAACCCTGTCTCGGAAGAAAAAAAAAAAAAGATTTATTTTTATTTTATGTGCACTGTTGTCTCACCTGCATGTGTTTCTGTGTGAGAGTGTCAAATAACCTGAAACTGGAGCTATACAAACAGTTGTGAGCTGTCATGTAGGTGCTTGGAATTGAAGCCGAGCCCTCTGAAGATTAGCCAGAGATAAACCATCTCTCCAGCACTGTATTTTTATTTTCTTTTTTTGTTCCCAAGACAGAGTTTCTCTGTGTAGCCCTGGCTGTCCTTGAACGCAGAGATCCACCTGCCTCTGCCTCCCACGTGCTAGGATTAAAGGCATGAGCCACCACAGCCTGAGAAAAAAATTTTTTCAACTAAAAAAATAAAACAGCTGGGTGGCAGTGGCATATACACGCACCTTAAATTGCACCACTTGGGGGACAGAAGCAAGCAGATCTTTGTGAGACCCAGGACAGCCTGGTCTACAGAAGGAATTTCAGGACAACACAAAGAAACCCCGTCTCAAAAAACAAAAATAAAAACCATTTAGAAGTGGTGATACTTGCCTGTGATCCTAGCCATCAGGTGGCCCAGGCAGGAGGATCTCAAGTTTGAGGACAGCCTGGGCTACACAGCACAACCTGGTCTCAAAACACGCAAAACCACAGACAGGTCTGTGTTCACAATCTACTAATAGCTGGGAGAAAGGAAAATCCATAAAAAGGCAGAAATCTAACAGAGGTCTAGGCAGAATGCCAGGCCAGTGGCCCTCCCACCTCCACCATGTTCCAGAGGGGACTTAAGGGCAGCAAAGGTAAATGCCTTCAAGTCATTTCACAGTCCCCACACTACTTCCTCTTGCCAGAAGTCAGGCTGCTGAAGATTGAAGTAGGAAACTGAGGAAGGTGAAGGCAACCATCAAGCAATCTGGACAGGATGAGGAAAACAGGTCCCAGGAAGCACAACTCCCTGAAGATCCCTGGGGTCTGAAGCCCTGCCATTTAGCTCCTTATTCTTCCCCTCCTGAGCTCCAGATGCCTACAGGAAGCAGCAACAGGCCACAGCAGACCAGAGCCCCTCCCCTAGCACATAAGTATCTAACTCTGTGGTGGTGAGCACAAGTATCAAGCCTAGCATAACTGCTCCTATCTTCCCCTCCTCCATACAAAAAGGGGGGACGGAGAGAGGAAGGAAGGGAAGAGGAGAGAGAGACATACAGACACTATTGTGAAAAAAAAGTTAAGGGGTTAGTGAGACATCACCAAGCCTGCCAACCTGAGTTCAATTTCAATCACTGTAATCCACATGATGAAAAGAGAGAACCTAAACAAGTTGTCCTCTGACCTCCACGCACATGTGTACACACATACACAAATAATAATTTTTTATTTAAAAATGAGATTAAGGATATAACTCAGTAAAGTACTTGCCTAGAATACATGAAACCTTGAATTCAATCCCCAGCACCACATAAAAGTGGGCATAATAGCAGCCACTTTTGTTTGTTTTGTTTTTGTTTTTTCCAGAAAGGGTTTCTCTGTATTGTTTTGGAGGCTGTCCTGGAACTCTCTCTGTAGACCAGGCTGGCCTCAAACTCACAGAGATCCACCTGCCTCTGCTGGGATTAAAGGCTTCACCACCAATGCCCGGCAGTAGTCACTTGTTAATTCCAGCGCTTGGAAAATGGAGACAAGATCAGAAGTTCGGGTCATCTTCAGCTAAACAAAGTACACAAAGAGTATAAGGCCAGTCTGAGCTATCTAAGGCTCTGCCTCCAAAAAGAAAAGAAATGAAAGAGAAGAGAACAAACAATAAAACCTACTGGGGAGGCTGGGCAGTTGGTGGCGCTTGCCTTTAATCCCAGCACTAGGGAGGCAGAGATAGACAGATCTCTGTGAGTTCAAGAGCAGCCTGGTCTACAAGATCTAGTTCCAGGACAGCCTCCAAAGCCATCCTGTCTTGAAAAAACAAAAAACAAACAAACAAACAAAAAAACCTACTGTGAAAAATGACAAAAATCACTCTACTCTACTCTAGGCTATTTACTGAACTTAAAAGCCCAAGGCTCATCAGGGTCTAGCTACTCTGCTGACCATTATTTACACAGGCTTGATTTAGGAAGAGAAACCAGATTCTCCCAGGCTGTGAAACAGAAGTCTCTATGTAGCTCTAGACCAGGGCCTCCGGCCCTATGTGACTTCTGCTCCCTTCTGTGGGCTTTCAGTAGGGACAGACAACAACAATGCAACCAGGCCTCCAACACAGTCAGCTGGAAGAAAGCGGCTACTGAGACAGGATGTGAGTTAGAAGGTGATATC